CGTAATCATATGGTGAATATATGTGTACATTCCGAAGCACAAGTCTCTAGTACTTGAAATGCGTTTTTTACAAATTGGGGGAGAAGGGGGCGTGGTATCCAAAATCTGTATATTACAAAATCTTTGTATCCATTAACTTTATATACAACGCAAGTTTGAAGACTCCAGGTCTAAAAGTGTTCAAATTAGCCTAAAAAAACAAAATCATTTTTTCGATTATTCTCGATAAAAAAGTTATCGGATGAATTATCGAAAAAATAAAGCAAACTCGTACTGCGTATGGTACACACGAGTATGCATGCCAAATTTCAGCTCTCTAGCTCTTATAACTTCTGAGATCGACGCACTCATACGGACGGACGGACGGACGGACGGACAGACGGACAGGGCTATATCGACTTAGCTCGTCGCCCTGATCAAGAATATATATACTTTGTGGGGTCTGCCACGCCTCCTTCTGCCCGTTACATACTTTTTCACAAAACCATTATACCCTGATTTCCCATTTTCAATGGGTTCAGGGTATAATAAATACCAACGAAAAAAACAAAATCTCAAGTTAACTTTACTATTTTATATGCATTTTTACTAAGCTTCCCTTCATTTTCGTTTCTTGTTTGCCAAGCGAATGCAAAGTGTAAAACAAAAACAAATAATGAGCGGCGCATTTGCAAATTGAAATTAGAAACAAACGTAAATTGCAATAATTGTGCTAATTGTTATTGCAATTATATTGCGGATAACTACCATGACTAATGCCAAGAGGGGGGCGCCGATTGAACAATGTTATGAATAATAGCAAAACAAAGCAGCAGCAAAACGAAGTAGAAGAAGAAGACATAACAGACAACTATGTTAATTCAGTGAAAGATTTATGGGAACACAAGAAGCAGAACTTTGTAAGGGCCTAAAAGGTGAGATTGTGATTAGAGAGGTGGGCAGATTAAATGAAATATTACCTTTACGGTAAAGTGAGTAATGCAAATGGACTTTGTGAGAAAAGAATGCAGAACTGTTATGAATAAAGAAACCAATTAGATGATAAATTAGACAGATCTTTTGTAGCTTGCAAATAGATTCAATAAAAAAAAGACTTCATGAGCTACGCTACGATTGAGAAGAATGTTTTGTAGAGGAGATATAGAAGATCATAAAAAATATTGTTTTAAGTGCTTTGAGGATGAGAAATAACTCTGCATTAAGTACAAACTTTCTTATGAGGCTTTCACTAAAGACGTAAAAGAATATTAATATATGTATATATATTAAAATTTTGAAATATCGTGAAATTTTTCAACATCAATAAAATTTTAAGAATTGTTTCTTTTAAAAAATATTTGATCTATCAATTTATAAATGTATTTAATTTACTTAGATTTTTCCAATATCTACTTTCATATAGACATAACAATTATTGCTCAATCAATAATACTCATCTATTTAAACAATATAAATATTATATATTTATTTAATAATATGAAAATAATACAAATATTGTAAAATATTTAAAAATTCATGTAATTTTAACTGCTTTTTATTTAAAATATTTTATCTACAACAATTTATACATAAATTTTCTATAATATTCAATGAGAATTTCCAGTCTAATCTCATATTTATTTACCGATATATATTTTTTATATATTACAGCAGTATTTATTCCAATTGGCTCACAAATTCATATTCGCTTTTCAATTTTTCATTTTTTACAAACAATTAAGCTGTAATGCAATGCTTCAAAATTTTTAAGAAAATATTTCAGCAACCTGTCAGCATGAAAATGCATTTTTCCTTTTGATAATGCACTTTCCTTTTCAGCTATTCAGTCTACCTGCCCCGCCTCTAGATTTCCCTTCCACTTCAATGCATTTCCAAACACTTTCCCATGCAAATTATTCAAGGATTTTGCATAAGATTGGCCTAAAGACGGCTAAGAACTCTGGGAATGTTGTGCAGAACTAGGGTCGAGATGAACAAAGCATCACCTGCCGGCAGAGCCAGCGCGAGAGGGAGACAGAAAGAGACAGAGTGAGAGCGGGAGCAGGTAGTTTTCGGGCCAACTCGAAAGATTTCTACTGTCGCCTGACATTAGTTGCACTCGACTGAGGCCCAAAGGAATCTTCGAACTCATTTCGCATTTTGCTATTGAGAAACGCTCATTATTATATATTATTATTATATGCAGCAAGGTGCTGGCTGCGACAAGGGACGTGGGAATGTAAACAGCCCAGCAGCAAACTGTTCCAATTCTGCATTATTTTTGGCAAATAGACGTTGCCTCCTCCTACCCTCTTGGGTAGCCAAGTGTAGCTGCATTTAAACGAAATTTAATTGTGTTTTGGCCAAAGGCAAAAAGCAAAGCCGACGCAGGAAGCTACCCTTCCCACAGACCCAGCAACAAAATAGAAACTGCGTGGGTCCATTTCTCGTCTCCAGCGAGCGAGCGGATATTGAGCCAATAATTTGATTGTCTGCTGTTTTGTAATTGAGAAAAAAATCATATAAGAAAAATACAAAATAGAAATAGAAATAGAGATAGACATCGAAAGGAAGGTAGAAGGAAGTGCAGGGCATAAATCGACTTTTGTTTACCTTTTTATAAAGGCAATTCGTAGAGCAGGACGAGACAGAGGTACCTTTTATAAGGTTCGAACATTAATTAATAGGATTTGATTGTGCATATGGAAGAAGTTAACATAAAACAATCTAGGGAAGTGCGAAACAAAGTGCCCAACATTGAGATAATCGGAACTCTATTTTCGGATGATTTTATTTCATAGTTATTTGTGAATATCTACTGTTCCCCTTTGCACTTGTAATTTTGTATATTTATGTATTCTACATTATATTTCATTATATAATATTCCCTAGAATTATTATTTATATACCCGTTCTTTCAAAATTGCGCCCTCCCCATATACAGTTTGAAAGCCAAGCAACATATAATTATGCACTTAGCACATATCTCAGCTAAACATCTAAATTAAATTTATGTAGTCAATCACAGTAGCAACAACAACAACAACAAAGACAACAAGAAGAAATAACAACAACGTAAACTAATCTAATTAATAACTTTCATGTTTTAAGCCTCATTAATTTTGCTTGTTAACATTTTTAGTTAACAAATTTTGAAGTTTTCTCGCTGCCATAGATGTTTCACATTTTCCAGACAGGAAAAATACGAAGAAAAAAAAAAAAAAGAAGTAGCAAAGAAATAGCGAAATAAATATATATCAAAGCAGCTGAAAGACATTTGCATGGCTTTCACTTTTGGCGAAATGGAAATGTGGAAATGTCGAAATGGGGGAAAAGTGTTTTTCGGAATATGAAAAATTTGTCACAAATTACTTTCACTCGACTCGAATTACGAAGGAAACAAAAGCGGATGTCCGCTGAATGTTGACAGAATCCTTTCACTGCCATGCCCCTCATCTACATCTCCCGCTCCCTGCTCCTCCTCCTCCTGCTTCAGCTCACTTTTCCCCTTTGCCGCATGCATCCAGCATCCATGTTTGCATGTCAAATTAAATTTCTATACAAATAGAAATAGGCGAAAGGCAGCTGCTCAAAACCCGCAGCCACAAGCCTTTACAGCGGCCGAAAAAGTGAAAGGATGCACAGGACACGGGAGGAGGAGAGAGTGAGAGGGAGCACAGTAGAGCGGGTGAGGTTGCGGGCGTAGTAGCTGAAAAATGCAGTGACTGTGTAACGCCTTTAATGATGATAAATGCGCAGACAAAGTTCCGCCACATTTAGCGACAAAAATCACTCTAAAATTAGAGAGGGACAGCATGAAAAAAGGGAGAGCGAGAGATAGGTGCAGGGTAACCCTAACACGCGTATTGGGTTACACAACAAACAAAAATTTAGGGCGCATGCGTCGCACGCTCTCAAAACTGCGACTGCCAGACTCCGGGAACTCTTTGAAACATATGTCAAAAGGTGCGTTGAGCACGCGCTAAATTCCTTTTTCGTTTTTTTTTTCATTTTTCGATTTTCAACAAATGTATTTTTTATCGCCTGCATATCCCATCGCTGCGTGATGCGCACAATGCTATCTCTGCCCATACGATGTATTATATACGACGTATTATATATGTTTTAACTATTTCTATGGCTATTCCCTGGCGTTAACCGCACCCCTTTTTCACCTTGCCTAGCAGCCATTTTTTACGATCCTTTGATTGGGACTCTGATTCTGATATTTTTTGCTTATCATATTTAAAGCGGCAATGCAAAACAGGGTTGAAAATTTTTAGAGGTTCTCATTTTAGAACGTCCACCACTTCCACCCCTTTTGCTACCCTACCAAATTGACAGCTGCAAACGAAAAATTGCATGAGATTTCGAATTTTTTCCATTTTTGCGCGCAATTTTTGCTTTAAAAATCTGTAAAAAGCGGGTAAAAACTAACTGATTGAAAAAATGTAAGGAAAATTTGGGAAAAAAATTCCTATGAAATCCGCTTAAGTGACATTTTAACCTCTTGCCGAGATTTTCTTTGTCACCCAAAAAATGAAAAAAGAAAAAATCGTAACGTATTTTTTGAAAATGCTATAAATTATTGATGCCTGCATGAAAACGAGTAAATTCTTGGGAAGCAAATCTGTTGTATATTATGAGAAAATACTAGAGAATTGCAAAAAAATACAGGACATTAAACAACTTTCGGGCTGTAAAGTTTCTAGTGATTAGCCAATAAAAAACGTGGGTTATAAGAGCAAAAGGTGGATCGTTTTCATTGAAGTAAATGATGTGAATGATGAATATATACCAAATTATTAATCTAATGGCTTTCATAGCTTCTAAGTTCTATAAGGTTAAATTTTTGGCAAAGCAAAGCAATGAAAATATAGATTGTGTAAGTATTGAATCTTATATACCAAATTTGATGGTTCACGTCATGGTACTTTTTGAGTTCCATGAGGTGTTTTTATTATTAAATCCTATCATATTCGATATAAATATTAATTAAAATTGCTGTAAAGCGTACATACCAATTTCGGTGAAGCTACATTCAGTAACTCTCGAGTTCCATGAAGTATACCTGTTATAAATCGCATTTGATGGTAAACAACCTGCAAGTAACTTAAATTCAAACGTTAATTATATTATATAAATACGCGTAAAATGCAATTGAGATAATGATACACCATCTAAATTCAATTTATTCGCATATTTCTTTGAAGATAAACTAAGTCTGCAGTAGGGTTAACGCCTTCTTATTTAGCTTAGATACCAAAGTACCCCAAAGTGCCCCGCCTCGAGCCGCTCTGCACGCAGTAGCAGTCCATAATTATCGCACATTTTGCACTCAATTGCCAGCGATTCGTATTTAAATACAAATATAACGAAAAATTAAAACTTAAATATATGTATTTAATAAAATTTTACGCAATTCTCTTTTTGCTGTTGTTTTTTTTTTTTTTTTTTTTTTTTCAATTGCTTGGGCTAAATAACTGCAATTACAAAACGCACGAAGCGCGCACAAAGCAAATGCGCAGAATATAAAACAAAAGCAGAAACAACAACAAAAAACATCGGCAAACGTCACGAGCCGCTGCACCTGCGCATGCAAAACGTGTGAGCAGCGAGTGGAAGAGAGACGGAAAGAGAGCAAAAGAAGTGCCTGGCACGAAATTTATGCAAACGAGCAGCGAAGTGTAGAAAGGCGTGTAATGCGCGCGAGCTGAAAAGAGCAAAGGAGCAGAACACTTAGCAAAGACGACGCCGACGTCGATGCTGACGCCAACGCCAACGCCAACGCAAGTTAAAAGCGCTAATTGCGTAGAGAACGGCAATCGGTAGAAGTAGAGGAGGAAGAGGGATAGCCAGCCTATTGCGTGCGCTTAGCGCATTAAACAGAGCACGAGAGCGACTGCCGCTATTTAAATGAGCAAAGCTCTTGGAGCTTTATACATTTCTACATAAGTATGTGACTCTATATGTGTGTTCGTGTGTGTGTGTGTGTTAGTGTATGTTATGCTTGGCCTGACGATTGGGACATGCATTGGGCGGGCATTTGTATAACTGCATGTGAACATTTGTATGGGTGTGTGTCTGTGTGTGTGTGTGTGTATGTTGAGCCAAGTTGATCTATGTGAGTGCAATAAATTGCGCTCATTGCACAAAGGAGACAAGTGTCAATGGGGCAAACAAATCACCTAATCACAATGCCGAGCGATCATCATTTTTGATGCGCAGTGCAACTGTTACAGTTACTTTATATCTACTTCTTCTTCATCTTTTTTTGTGTGATCGTTACGCAGCGGGCAGCGTTTGACGGGCTGGCAAATAACAATGGTGCAACGGCACTTGGTGTTGCCCGTTGCCGGTTTTTGCATTGTCCTTGCGCAAGCTGCGCTTCCCACGCTGCAGCTACTGCAATTGCAGTGCGTGTGCGCGCGTGTGTGTGTGTGTGTACCTTTACACCTGGCCAAAGGACATAGATTTCTGTTTCTTTTTGATGCTGCAGGTTGGCCTTTTGATGTGCATTGAGCTCTTTTGATACTTAATTAAAACCCAAAACTGACATCAGATTTATGACTCTTACTCTCTCGCTCACTCTGTGGCTCTCTCATTCTGGGTCTCTTTTACTGTTTACCTTTTTGGGTGGCACTTCCTCGTAATTCTTCAATATTCGCCCAGTTTGTTGTCAAACGGTAAAAAATCAAATAATTCCATTCCTTTTGTCTCTTTCTCTCACTTGGTATATTCTTATCTCTGCTTCGGTCTTACGGCAATTCGTTTGCAGTTTTCTTTTTACTTTTTTTTTATGTCTTGCAGCCTGTTGCATTATCCTTGGCGGCGCATCCTTTAGAAGCACTCGCTGTTCGGATTGCGCAACAGGCTTGAAGAGATTTTCCTTTTTGTTCAGCGAAGCAAGAAAATTGGTCAAAGATTTTGCGACTATAAAAAACAAAACAAAAACTGAAAGGGAAAGGAACTTATGGATTATCTTTGTGGTAGAAATGAGAGAGTAGATTGTAGATATTTCCTACATATAAGGCAGGCATAGACATAGTTTAAATGTATTTAAACGTAAATTTTAAAGCTGAGTTCTGATGCATTTACAATATTGAAATTTTTATTTTATTTTTTATTATTTTTGAATTGTTTTTTATTTAATAATAATATCTAATTAGCCTTGTCAATTTTATTCTTTTTTAGTTATATTTATTATTAATATTATTTATCATATTAATATAGTTATATTATTTACAATTATTTCATATATTTAATTTCCCAAATTTGTTCACATTGTATTTTATATATTCTCCTACATATTTCTTCAATTTACAACTAATTCATTCTGCTCTTTATTCAATTTCTATAAGAAATATCCAACGAAGCAAACCCTCTCAAGACTCATTCATTACCTAATATCAAGCTGTCAGCTTTCGCACTTCAAGTCTGCACGAAATCGAAAATTATTTCCATATGAGCTGCTGCTTAAGGACACTTGGACAGTGCCAGCAGAATGTCCTGCCGGCAGCTCAGACAGTTTTAGGGCCCTAAAAACGTTTACACATTTTCACACTTTCTTAGCTTCCCTCAGCTTTAGCCTTGCGTCCTTTGCTTCCGCCAGGAGTTTGCGCATTTCCATTTCCCTCGAGGCAAATATTAAAATGAAATCCACAGCTCGTTTCGTTTCCACACATTTTCATTTTTATTATGTAAATCAACCCCCTTTTTTATGGGCGTACGTTTTTTATGTGCGAGTGGCTTATTCAAATGTCATAAAAAAAGGGTTGCTGAGATTTTCGTAGAGATTTTGTTTGGGGGGTTTATTCATAATGTTGGCTTATGTAAATGCCAACCCTTTCGCCGCTGATAAGCAATGCGTTTTGATTGGCTCTTATGTAAGCCATGCAAATCACTATAAAATACAGCTAAACTAACAAAATGGTTTCCATCTCTCTCTCTCTCTCTCTCATTCAGTGGGCTTTAAATTTGAGAAGGATGAAACGCTTGTGGACACAATTATGCGCGATGTTAGCAGGACAATGGAACACAACGAAACGAACAATGGTCAGGATAATGGTCAACTAAAGCTGCACGACAGCGACGAAGTAGGAGAAGAAGAGGAAGAGGAGGAGGAGGATCAGCGAACAACGACACTTGGCAACAACAGCGACAATTTGTTGTCTTCCTTTCGGCTGAAAAGCGAAGCACAGGACGAACAGCAACACGAGCCTCAGGAGCTCTGCGAACAAAGCTCAAAGGAAGCTCAGCAATTGGAGCAGTGCGTCAAGCAGGAGCAACATAACGGTGAGTACATGAACAAAGTTGAAGATTGAAGATGAGATGGGAATTTTGGAAATAGGTAGACTCTCTAAAAGCTTTAAATGAATATGGGTTATATGGGAGACAAAAGATATACTGCTTATATATTATTTATGCATATTTCAAAGTGTTTTCAGACTTTAAGAATATTTTTGGAATATAATGGAATAGTAGAATAGAGATGTACAGTAGCGAATGTCTAACTTCTCTATAAAGCATTCGCACCACAACTTTTACAACTGTAGCTGTACATGTTTGTTAATCGTAAACCCATTTAGCATTAGCATCAACTCTCTCTAAGCCTCTCTCAACCCCCTCGCTGAAAACTCGTAAATGCTGTCAAAAATAAATTCTGCGATAAAAATCACATTTTTGTCAGCATTTGGCAAATATTTGCGATTTGGGGTAGGAAATCGGAATCCCTTATATACATACGTCTATATACTTATATGTATGTGTATATAAACAATATAAAAGGCATCTGTGCCTTATTCAATCAGCTTTAAAGCATCTCAAGTCTAGGCACAATGTTATGTTATATACATATATATTACCATAGATAGGTATATAATAAATTCGAATAAAATTTCAATTAGTCAACAGTTCACTTCTCACACATTCAGGCCTCTACTCTAATATCAGATTTTTGGCGCGAGTCCTGGATACAATTTTGCATGCATCTTGGCTTCCACTTTTTACATACCCAATCTATAGCTCGAATAACAACGCATTTTGATTCGTGCTTTGTCTGTGTAACATGATGATGCATCGAACACGATGACATTCAACGACGTCTAGCATTTTATTGATGTCCTTACAAATACCAAAATAGATGGAAAAAACGGCCTCTATTCCATGCCTTATTTTGGGTCGAAAAAAAAAGAAGAAAACGTCGCAAATCAATTGCGTTGTCTGCGATAAGAAAAAATCCTTAAAAAAGTAGAGGAAAAAACAAAAAGAAAGCAGCTCGTTACGGTAGTTGACGTGCATGTGACACCCCTCGAGCAGGGGACACTTCGAGGGCCAGGACCCACTCAGGTAGTCCTTGACGCATATGCATATAATTTTGCTGCGGTGCCAACTTTTCCGCTTTTCCCTATCAACCCCCAATTGCAGTAGGTTTTTTAATGCAATTTTTAGCATGAAAATTTGTGTTTTTCCTTTCTTCTCTTTTTTTTGAGGACAGAGGGTTGATTTTTCTTTTCCTTTTTTGGGAAAGTTTTTACATTTTTTGTTTTTAATTGCAAAAGATATTTTGATTTATTTTCGCTGATCTTGAGAGTTGCTTTTCAGATTTTTCTTTCCTTTTTTGCTGGGTGAGTTTTCCCACGAGTTTTAGGACAAGCAAATCTTGTCTGTGGGCTAGCTAATGAAGGCCAAGTAATTAATGTGCAAAATTGATCATTGTATTGCTTAGAAGTCTCTTAAAAGAATTTTGTAGTTTATTTAGGTAAAAAAAAAAAAAAAAAAATTATGGAAATTAAATGTGGCTAAATTTTAAATCATATATGATAAAAAGTATATCAAATGAAAAAGAAAATTAAATTCGTTCATTAAATATAAAATTTGTAATAAATGTTTTTTTTAGTAACTACACCTCTTGCTGTTTCTGTTGAAAACTTTCATTCGTTAATTTAGATTTTTATCAGCAACAGTTTTCCTTTCACCGATAAGAAATCGCTTTACTGTTTCCCTTCTGCCACATTTATGGGGCACTAAAAATCAGAAAACTGAAAATCAAAAGCCGCAAGAACAAGCCCACCAGATAGGCTCTGTGGAAAAGTCTTTCGAAAATACGGATTCGGAGAGAGAGGTGGAGAGAAAAGGAAAGAGGAAATACCTGCATGTACGCAGAGCCAACTACCTTTATGACTTCATTAGACAATTCACTTTTCTTCACTTTTTTGACCAACAAGAACAAATTCTCAACTACATGAATTTCCCTTTTCTTGACCTTTTCATTTTATATATTTTTTAGTATTTTAGTTTTTTTTTTTTTTTTAAATATATTTTTCGGTTGCCTTCAATAAAATACAAGTAAAAGTAATCCAGTGTAGGGTGCTTGACTAGAAGATACCCTGAATGCCGTTGCATGCGATGCTTGTTGAGAGCTCATATACAAATCTAATGCTTATAACTCTTTAAACTAAAAATATAGTAACAAATAAAGTTTGACATAACTCGATCAAAGCTCGATAAGTTATCGATTATTCAAATGACATCTTGATATATGCGCCCCTTAGACGAACCTACGTCTAATAATAATTCTCTCTCACCTATAAGATCCATGATCTCCTCTCTTCTGCACACTGACAGAAGACATATGTATATGAAACATTCATTCCAATCGAGAACATATGAAAATACCTTCAAAAGCCCACCACTTTCCCCTCCGCCTGTAACATACTCACTCCGCCAACCAACATACCCCATTTACTCACTCTCACTGGGCTCAGGCTATAAAAAACGCTTCAACGTTTATGATCTTTGCCTTTTGCATTGACTTAACTAATTCTCAGCAATGAGCGAGGTTTACGTTAGCTAAATAGTTAGCATATTTTTTCTCGATTTATATGCGCGGTACACTTGGAAAATAAAAACAGTCAAAAGTCAAAGGTACGAAAGCCGTTTACCTATTTAACGTGTCCTTGCGAACGTGAGAGCGGCCGCTAGAGATTCAGAACCAGTAGCCCAATGCTCAAATAGTCAAGTCAGTCAAACGGTTAAGGTTCGAGTCTAATTAACATGTAGCAGCATCCTGCGTACAGCATCCTTTGTGCAGGGTATCGGGGCATATGAGATGTATCTAGTTTTCGTTTTTTATGATTTACGTGGAAATCGCCGCAATTTACAACGCATCGTAAAAGACGCAAACAGCGCAAAAACTACACGTGGAAAAAATGAAATGAATTAACTTGTTATGGTTTACATATACCCTGTAAATAATTATAGATTTTTTTTTTTAAATTTTGTTGTGAACTAAATTTTATATTTTTATATTGTCTAACTTATGTTAAGATGAAATATATAAAGTCTTCTTTGATTCTAGTCAGTTCATTTGTCTCGTCTATCAATTATTTACATAATTAATATATGTATATACTGATAACCCACATAAACATTGTCTTACTTCGATCATACCCACTAAGTCCAAACATGCACTTATAGGGTATCTAAACAGTTCAAGTACCCGTAGCCTACTTGAGCTCGCTTTAGGTGATTATCAGAGTGTCGGAAGCGTTGCGCATTTCGGGCGTTAAATGCTTCTTGGCAGGACAAATGAATTTCGTACGATTTTCATTTACCTGACTTCTGACTGACTTTTTATGACTTTGTAACAATTTTTTATGATATCTGTTTTTTTTTTCGTTTTGGTCATAAAAAATTGTGCATCTTTTACCTGCTGCAAGTTGTTTTTTATATATGTATACATATGTAGTACATGTATCTCACAGAAATTTTTCGCCTTGAAATTTGACTTTTCGTTATAATTTGTTTGTCTGTCTCTATTATATTCTTTGCGGAAGTTCCCGGAAAATCGTGTGATAAAAAAAATTGTGCGTTTTCACAGGGAAAACCTGACTTTAAAAAATATTGGTCGATAGTAAAAAATATTTTATACGAAAATTCTTTATTTGCTACTTAAATTAGATGAAATTTTTATATTATTATTAGTACTATTATTTTTAAGTAAATAGTTAACTAAATATTCAAGCAATTAGAAAATTCAATTTCAACATCTACGTCAATGAAACTCAAATGAATATAATAATAAATAAGAAATAAAATAAATATAAATTGAATAAAATAAAAAAAAGCAAAGTACGAAAAAAAAGAGAAAATAACTGCTTGCAAAGTGGGTGGCAGAGCAGCAGAGGGAAATGCTAGGAGCTGACTGGCAGGGAGGCAGGACGATGTCTGCATTGCGAGCATGTGTGCATAAATGAATGGCAAATAAATGTGAGAGCAGGAAGAACAAAGAGCCAAAAGCAGACGACAATGGGCGCTACGCGCAGCTGCAGTCGGCGTCGACGCAGCGACGCAGCTTTAAAATATTTTTACATAGCACATGTACACGTACACACACACATACGTTCACTCAGATTTTGAGGCGTGTGCGCCAATCATAAAATAATATGCATACACACACAGACTCATACACACGCATGCATACGCACACACCGTCGTAGTCGACGCCAACGCCATTTGAAAGCTAAATTTAAATTTTAAGCCACACCCCAAACAAGCGCACGCATACTGCACACTAACGCACACACACACTCACACAGACACAATGGAGCCCAACGAACGGCAGCCGAGCCGAACAAAACGAACGCCGCCCGCCACCCGACAACCCACACACACACAGTCACACGAGACATTGTAGTAAAATTTTAAAACGTATAAAATGTTGGAGCAGTCAGACGACACACACAAACACACTCACATTAGCTCACACTCGCTCACACAGTTACACTCGCTCTCTCATGCACGCTCAAATGCAAACACAGTCTCACTCACTCGCCGACCAATACACTCAAGCGCGCGAGCGCACGCTCATTTCTCCAAGCAGCGAATGGGAATGTATGTGGAACGCGTTTCTAACAGGCATTCAAACCTAGAACGGTAAATAATGAGTGAGCAAAGGCAAACGCTCTCTATGTAAGCAACGAAACAGGCGAGAGAGCGAGAGAGAGAGCGCTTTTCGTTCGTTAAGCTCACACACACACGCACACAAGCACACACATAGGCACACACGTACGCTCGTTGGCGGCTTTTTTTTTGCTGTGGAGCCAAATGCAGTTGGCGCGCCGACGTGAAAACCAGTTAAGCGCGTTGACTCCGCTAAAGCACATCGTGCAGCTTGTCGTTCGTGTGTATTTTTTAACATAGCAAAAAAAGAAAAAAGAAAGTCAAGAAGTAGAAGGAGCTGTTTTTTAAGTAACGGCAAAAACCACCCCTAACTTAAACGGATTTTTATTCGG